AATAATTTACATACCATAAAATTCATGCCTTAAAATTATCCAATTAAGAGGTTTTTAGTGTATCTACAGAGTTGTGCATCCATCACCAGAATCTAATTTTGGAATATTTTCATCTCAAACAGAAACCTTGTACCCACTGACAGTCATTCCCCATCCCCCATCTCCAACTTCCAGCCCTAGGGAATCACTAATCTATTAATGTCCAGAAATTTGGCTATTTGGACATTTCATATAAGCAGATTCAGGCAATATGTGGTCTTTTGTAAATGACTTTTTCATTTAGAAGAATGTTGTTGAGGTTCGTGCATGGTTAAGTATATAACCACTAGTAGCCCGGTGCACAAAATTCGTGCACATTAAAAGGGAAATAGTTGCCCTAACCGGTTTGACTCAATGGATAGAGCATCAGCCTGTGGACTCAAGGGTCCTGGGTTCAATTCCGGTCAAGAGCATGTACCTTGGTTGTGGGCACATCCCCAGTGGGGAGTGTGCAGGAGGCAGCTGATCAATGTTTCTCTCTCATCGATATTTCTAACTCTCTATTCCTCTCCCTTCCTCTCTGTAAAAAATCAATAAAATATATTTTTTTAAAAAGGAAATTAGTTAGCAAACTGGCCACCTGTTGATTCTGTGAAGAAAGGGGGTCCCTCCTCCCTCCTGTAAGGGTCCAGGGTGCAGGAGAATGGGGTTCCTGGATGGCAGACCACTGACAACAAGCTATCCAACAGCGGATTCTGTGAGGAATGGGGCTCCTTCCTTTCTACTGTCAGGGTCTGGTTTGAAGGTCGGCCATGCCCCCTGTTGGGCCAGACCCAGAGTTCTACCATGCCATGGCCTCCACCTCAGCAACCCAGGGCTGACTGCTGCTGGGTGCTCCTGGTGCTCTGAGGGTGGATTCTTCCCTCAGGCCACACGGGAAACAGCTCAGGGAGGGCGCAGCCATTGCCAAGAAACCCCTGCAGGACTGACTTCCTTCCACTTGGTCGAGCTTCTGGCTTGATGTTACACCCAAACAGCTCTGGGAAACAGCTCAGGGAGGGCACAGCCCTTGGCAAAGCAACCTAGGATTCAATGGATCCATGGGCAGAGGGCAGGTTCCTGCCTCAAACCCTGCCCTCACCGGAAACAGCTCTGGGAAACAGCTTGGAGGAGGGTGCAGCCATTGCCAAGACAACCCCTGCAGGACTGACTTCCTTCCACTTGGTCGATATTCTGATGGTCGTGATGACCACCACCCATGGTTTTTATTTAAGTAGATAATACATTATTTTTTAATGCTAAATAATATTCCATTGCATGAATGAACCACACATTGTTTATCCACTCATCAGCGAATGGAATTTAGGTTGTTTCCACTTTGGGGTAATTATGAATATATTGCTATGAATACTTTGTACAATTTTTATGTGTAGAAACATGTTTTCATTACTCTGTGTAGTTACCTAGGAATGGAATTCCTAGGTCATATGGTAACTCTGTTTAAGATTTGGGGGGGACTGCCAAACTAGTTTCCAAAGTGGCTGCATCATTTTACATTCTACCAGCAATGTATGAGTTTCTCCACATCCTTGGCAGCACTTGCCATTATCTGCCTTTTTTGTTCTAGCCATCCTAGTGCACGTGAAGTGATATTTCATGGTACTGCCATGTCAACCAACAGTGTTGAGCATCCTCCCATGTGCTTATTGACCACTCTTACATTTATCTTTGGAGAATGGTCAATGTATTCATTCCTTTTTATGGCTGAAATATATCCCATTGCATAGATATACTACCTATATTCATCAGTTAGTGAACATTTGGGTTGAACTCACCTTTTGGCTACTGTGGGCAATGCTGCTATAAACATTCATATACAAGTTTTTCTTTGGATGTATGTTTTCATTTTTCTTGGGTATGTGCTTAGGTGTGGAATTGCACCATTTTACATCCCCACCAGTAGTATATGAGGCTCTTACTTCTTCACATCCTTGCTAACACATGTTACTGTGTCCCATTCTGTGGGTCATCTTTTCATTTTCTTGAGGGTATCCTTTGAAGCATAAAAGTTATAAAACTTGAGGACGTCAATTTGTCTTTTTTCTTTTTAGCTTATGCTTTTGTTACATCTAAAACCCCTTTGCCACATGGTAATTCTATTTTTAATTTTTTGAGGATTCTCCCAGGAATTCCACTGCCGGGTAATTATCCAAAACACTAATTTGAAAAGATATATGCACCCCTATGTTCATTGCAGTGTTATTTACAATAGCCAAGATATGGAAGCAACCTAAGTGCCTATGAATAGATGACTGGATAAAGAAGATGTGGTACCTATATACAAGGAATATTACTTGGCCATAAAAAAGAATGACATCTTACCATTTACAACAATATGAATGGATCTAGAGGGTATTGTGCTAAGTGAAATAAGTTAGACATAGAGAGAAAAATGCCCTATTATTTCACTTATATGTGGAATCTAAAGAACAAAGTAAACAAGTAAAACAGAAACAGGCTTATAGCTATAGAGAACAAATTGATGGTTGCTAGATGAGAGGGGATAGGGGGGCTGGGTGAAAAAGAGGAAGGGATTGTAGCCACAAATTGATGGGTACAAAACAGTCACAAGGATGTAAAGTACAGCACAGGGAATATGGTCAGTAATGTTGTAATAGCTATGCATGGTGCCTGGTTGGTACTAGACTTATTGGGAGGATTACCTCATAAGTTATATAAATGTCTACCCACTATGCTGTACCCCTGAAACTAATATAAAATAATATTGAATGTCAACTATAATTGAAAATTCTTTGTGAAATCCAAGGTCATGAAGGTTTACCCATGTTTTCTTCAAACTTTTATAATTTTAGCTCTTACATTTAGGTATTTGATCCATTTTAATTTATGTATGTGGTGTGAGGTCAGGTCCAAGTTCATTCTTTCACATGTGGTTATTCACTTGTTCAATTTATTGAAAAGAACATTTTTCCTCCACTGAGTTGTCTTGCTATCTCTGTTGAAAATTAATTGACATAAATGTAAGGGTTTGTTCCTGAACTCCCAATTCTATTTCATTGACCAGCTGCCTTGATTACAGCAGCGGTGTAGCAATTTTGATATTGAGAAATATGAGTCCTTCAACTTTGTTTTCTTTTTTTAGATTGTTTTGACTATTCTGGGTTCCTTGCATTTCAATATGAATTTTAGGATCTGCTTGTCAATATCTGCAAAAAAATCAGCTGGGATTGTGATAGGGATTGTGTTATATCACTTTGGGTGTACTGCCGATTAAACAATATTAAGTCCTCTGATCTATGAGCGTGAGTATTCTTTCACCTTATTTAGATCTTCTTTTTGATACATGAATCATTTTGTTCATTAACAAAATTTAGGACTTTCACTGTTACCCATTAATCTTTTTTTAAAAAATTTATCTTTATTGTTGAAAGTATTACAGATGTTTCCTTTTTTTTCCTCATTGACACCCTTCACCTGTCCCCCCTGCCTCAGAACTTCATCACACTATTGTCTGTGTCTTTAATTATCTTCAACAATATTTTGCAGTTCTCTTGACTTCTGTTAAATTTAGTTATAAATATTTTATTCCTTTTGATGCTATTGTAAATTGAATTGTTTTCTTATTTTTATTTTCAGATTGTTGGTTGCTAGCATATAGATAAGCAATTGAAATTTGTATATAATCTTGTATCCTGCTTTCTTGTGTGAATATTGAGATGATCATGTGTTTTAGTTATTTACTCTATTTGGATGTTTAAACCAACCTTGCATATTTGGGATAAATCCTACCTGACCATAGAATGCCTTTTATGTGCCACAGGGTTTGGTTTGCTAGAGTTTAGTGAAAATCTTTGCATTTGTATTCATAAGAGATCTTGGTATATGGTTTTCTTTTTTTGCAATGTCTTTGGTTTTGATATAATATTTGTCTCATACAGTGAGTTAAGACTTGTTCCTTTTTCTATTTTCTGGAAGAATTTAAGTAAAATTGGTACTAATTTTTTATATGCTTGATAGAATTCACCAGTGAAGCCATGTGGGCCTGAGTTTTTCTTTGTGAGAAGTTTTAAATTTAATACTTCAATCTCTTTGTTTATAATTGTTCTATTAAGATTATTTCATATTGAGTCAGTTTGGCAGTGTCTGTCTTTCTGTGAATTTGTCCATTTCATCTCAGTTATCTGATGGGTAGGTATACAGTTGTTCATAGTATTCCCTTGTAGTTATTTTAATTTCTATGAGTTGGTATTGATGCTCCCTCTCTTCTAATTTTAATAATTTGTGGCCTCTATTTTTTCTTAATCTTTAGCTAGAGATTTGCCAATTTTGTTTTGGATTATGTGCCACTTTTATAATCAAACTAGAGGCCCGGTGCACGAAATTCGTGCACATGTGTGTGTGTGGGGGGGGGAGGGGGGGGGCCCCTCAGCCAGGCCTGCATCCTCTCCAATCCAGGACCCCTCGGACATCTCTCTCGCATCTGGGACCACTGGCTCCTAACTGTTCACCTGCCTGCCTGCCTGATCACCCCTAACTGCTCCCCTGCTGGCCTGATCACCTCTAACTGCCTCTGCCTTGGCCATTGCCACTGTGGCTTTGCCTGGAAGGATGAAGGGAAATGTCCAGTTGACCCAGTCTAATTAGCATATTACCCTTTTAGTATAGATTAGTATCAGAAGACATAAAAAGTGAGGGGTAATCCTTACAACTGGAGGTGAGAAAACATCAAGATAAATTCAAGCTGTTGCTGCCCATTCCTCCTTTATTATTATTAGTATTGATTAAAGTATTACATATGTTTCCTTTTCCCCATAATTCTCTTCACCACCTCTGTTAGGAGTGGTGGTTGAGAGGAGCTTGGGGAACACAGGCAGCTGGTGCCTTGGTCATCACTCACCAGCAGTGATGGGCCATAAGCTGTGTGCAGGGACCATTTCATACCACGGCCCTGAGACAGGAAACCGGGGTCCCATGCCATTCGGTCCGATGTCATCACTCACCTGTACTGTTTCTGCCGTGTATCCAGTTCTTGGCGTCTGTGCTGCTTGAGAATGTGAACTTGGTCATCGCGGGACAGCTTTGCTGTGAGGAAAGGACACGTGTGAGAAGAGCTAAGGAAGAATGACACTACGGCCGGCACCAGGGTTTCCCTCCTCCCCGCCCCTGCTTCACATGGATCATCTCCCTGAAGCCTCAGAACACACCCGTTATATTAAGTGGGACTCAGGCAGGTTGAAGAGTTTCGCCCTTGAACTTTACTCAAGGTCACATACCTAATTAGCAGGTGTGCAACACAAGACTCCAATCCCACGCTTCTAGTCACTCCTTTTCCAAAAGACAACTCCAGTGTCTCCTGCCGCTCTCTCAGAGCCGGCAGCCTGCACCAGGGCCTGCGGGTCCCCCGGTGCACGAGCCAGGCTTGCTTCCCAGGGGGCTTTTCGGGGACAGGCAGTGACTCTCTGTCCCCTCCTCAGCGACCGTGTGTGCCCAAGTCCGGCCACCTGTGGGTTTTCACCTGGAGGCTCTACCTTCCACCCGCCCACAGGACATTGCTCTGCAGGAGTCCTGGCGCTGGGGCAGAGCTGGCTGCCTCTCCTCTTCGTGTCCCTTGTTGGGTTTCTTTAAACTGCTCAGAACCGCCCACTCCCATTCCCTGCAGTTCCCGTGCAGAGCGGCCAGGACAGCTGCCTGCGGCCCCCTGCGGCCTTATAGCAGCAGCTGCCCCTGGCTCTAGTGTTTCGAAGTCCAATAGGCTGCCTCCTGGACAAACGTGTGACTTAAGAGCCAACATACAGATGCCGACACTACCCATTCCCCGTGCTGCCTGCTCAGAGGGCGGAGACTGGAGCCGAACTCTGAAGCAGTACGTGGCATCCTAGAGCAGTGATGGCGAACCTATGACACGCATGTCAGAGGTGACACGCAAACTCATTTTTTTTGGTTGATTTTTCTTTGTTAAATGGCATTTAAATATATAGAATAAATATCAAAAATATAAGTCTTTGTTTTACTATGGTTGCAAATATCAAAAAATTTCTCTATGTGACACGGCACCAGAGTGAAGTTAGGGTTTTTCAAAATGCTGACAGGCCGAGCTCAGAAGGTTCGCCATCACTGGCCTAGAGGGTGGGCTTTAGAAGGGACACACCTGTGCCAGTTGCCTTGGCTTCCTTACAGGGACTGGAGATAAAGTGCCCACTTCAGGTCACGGTGGGATGTCGTGAGAGAGTGCAGCAAAGCCTCCACGCAGTGCTCGGCACCCAGGAACTGCCCAAGAAATGGGAACAATGGCCATCGTCCTTATACTCCCAATGGACCTGAGCCTCCTCCTCCTCTCTCTGAGCCTGGCTGCTAAGTCTCTCATCTCTCAGGAGTGGCAGGCACTCATGGCGGGTGCGGGGAACATAGAGGGGCAGAGGCCGGAGGGCGAGTGCCCTGTTACTGTTATTTTAGGTGACGGCAGTGGGCACAGTCACAGCATTCCTGAGTGTCAGGGATTCCAGACTTTCAAAACTTCCATTCCATCACAGGCTGATATTTTTGTAAAACACAAGATAAATTAACTAATAAAAACGAAGATAAAAAAATAAGCCAAAGGCATGCCCTGATTTTATTACCAGATGCAGCAGCCACAGAATTTTCCTGGCCTGCTGCTCTGAAAGCTGGGCCTGCTCCCAGTCTCTGTGTTCCTGCGTGCGATGGCCCCACAGTGCTACCCACACTCCTGCCACATGGCCACCCCCAGAGCAAAGGCTGCGATCTCTTCCTGGGGTCAGGGGACAAAACTCCTTCTACCTCCAGTCCTTCCATTCAGACATTGCCTTGGAATTTGGCTTCGTAAGTTAAACCCGTGTCAGAAACAGCGGGGTGTGCCTGGTCCTTTAAGAACACTGGGTAGAGGGGCCTTTTCCTCCTTCATCTTGGTTTTCTTAGCTAAGGAGGGGAATCACCCTGTTTTATCTACTCTGCGGGACTTCCCTGAAGAGCAAATGAGCCAGCGACTGGAAGCCATTGTACTAGGAATGCTAAAGGGCGCCAGGGACAGTGGCAGCGGCCCCTCCTCGTTCTGGGGGATGCATGGCACCTGAAGACTTCTTGTTCCAGGTTTAGAGTGGGAGCAAACCGAAGGGCCACGGCTTGAAGTAAGGTAGGAACCTGCCGAGGCCCGGATGGCTCTCTCGGGCCAAGAGGCTGGCGGGCAGAGAGCTGGCGGCGGGGCTGACCTCTGCGGGTGCTTCCTGCGCTTCGGCCAGCCGCGTGCCTCCTGTGCAGAACGGCCTGCTGAGGCAGCGCCAGGCTGGGCCTGCAGAGGTGAGGGCCTGCTTCAGAGGGCAGATTTTAGGTTCTTTTCTCTTTCAATAAAAAGTGGGACTTCACCTTTAACAGCTGGTGACGGCAGACCCAGCCTGCCCACAGCCTCCGGGTCCGGCCCTGCTGTGACGTCACACAGGGCAGTGTGGGTGTCTGAGATCTGCAAAGCGATGCTGCAGCGATGCTGCGATCTGCAAAGTGATGCATCTGGAGAACTGCCCAGTTAGGGGTACCCCCAGGGGCACTTGTTGCTGGGGAGCCTAGTCACCCCTTGGAGAACTATAGCTCAGGGACCCCATGGCTGGCCTGCGCCTAGGGCCCCGGGCTCCACCCTCGAAGCCGGGTCTGTTTTAGGGGAGGAAGTTCACGTCTCCTGCAGGTGCTTTGAGGCACAGAGCAGCCCCACGAGGGGGGCCGCTGGTTATTTCTCCTGTGGACACAGCTCGCTGGGAAGGGGTCTGCAAGCCCCGTCCTTGGGAAGCTCGGGGCGCCGGCCTCGCTGCTCACCTCGCCCGTCTCTGAGCACCACCTCGCCGTCCCCGGTGAGCCAGCGGTAGCAGGGGAACTCGATGTAGTCCCCGGAGGGCGTCTTCAGCGTGACGTACTTCAGGTACCAGTCATCATGCAGCCAGTACTTGCGCTTCTCGATTTTGATCAGCTGGATCTCGCCCAGCTCCTCATCCACCGTCACATCGTAAGAATCGACCTGCGAAGGAGAAAAGGCAGGTTAGATATTGGAGGTCGCGGAGCCTGGCTGTCACCCTGTGGTCACGCGGTGCCCAGGTGTCTGCAGGTGCCTGCCCTCTGGCTGTGCCCTGACCTGCAGGCTGTGGGACCACCTGCGGGTCTGCGGTGCTGGAGGCAGTGGGGGGCCGGGGGGGAGGGCAAAGGCAGCGGCTGTGGGAAGCCTGGACGCAGGCCTTCCTCGGGCACTTGCTAAACCAGATTCCACCAACCCTGAGCTTTCCCTCGGCGGCAGAACCTCGAGCCCTCAGCATGCCAGTCAGGCCAGTGGAGGGCACGCTGTTCATGGTGCATGCGCCCCCAGGCGCCTTACTCCTCTCCTGCCAGCAGCACCCTGAGGGACTTGGTCAGTAAAATGAGAAGTTGGGTGTCGTCAGAGACCTCTGGGCTTTTGGCACAGTGAGCAGCTCACAAGCTGTGGCGGCTGCAGGTGCCAGACGCTGTGGTTAGAAAGCAGAAGCCTCGTCCCTGTGCCCTGCGGTCTCGGCCGGAGCCCCGAGGACAAGGCGCCAGGTGTGTGTGTGTGAGACGACACTTCCTTGTGGTCTTGGCCTGGGTCTGGGCAGGGTGGCGTCTCCAGGGGAAGTGGCTTTTCTGTGGCTCCAGGGGCTGGAGGGGCTGCAGTGTCCTGGGGTTGACGCGAGAAGGCTGGGGCTCAGGGGAGAGGACAGCCATTCCCAAGGAGCAGGTGCAGGAGCATCCTGGTGGACACTCTCCGGGGAGGGAGGAGCCCGGCGCCTGGGACTGCAAAGGACAGTGGGGGCTCATGGCCTCTGGGACTGGGTGGCTCTCAGAAGCAAGGCCAGCTGTCTGGCTGGGTGGTGACGGACAAGGAGAGGAGGGGCAGCTTTCCTGTAGGCGGGAAGAGCAGGGCCACCTTCAACAAGCCTGTGGTGGGGTCACAGGAGGAGGGGCCCTCCAGGTTCCCCTGCCACCCACCCCTAAGCCTGGCAGCTGCGATCTGCAAAGTGATGCATCTGGAGAACTGCCCAGAAATAAACAGACTGAGAGAACGCCAGGGGCCCCATACGCCGTCTGACAGGGCCGTGGCGGGGTTAGAGGAATACGCCTGCCAGTCTGGCTGCTCGCTGGCTGGCCCCGGCTTCCAACTCAGTGCTCAGGAGGCGAGCAAGCATCTGAGGAGTTCAGCCCTGCACTCAGCAAGTCTTTTAGGCATAAAGTCTGGCTACTGTGGTGTTGGCGCCCACGGGAGCCACTACTGGACAGTCACAAAGGACAGAGACAGGCTCCCAGGAGACCGCTGGGTCCCAAGCATCAAACGCAAGTCGAGTCTTAGGAAGGTCCCACATTATTCCCTCCTCTGCGGGGCCAGCGCCAGTGGCTGCTCTGCTGTCTGCTTGCCCTGACACAGTGAATTCTCATGTCCATTCAGCACAGTGGACACTATCAACAGTGGCTGCCCCTACCCAGCCCTCAACAAATGCAAAGCGTGTGCGTGACTGCGTGGATGGTTCCCACTTTTGAGAAGGAAACAGGCTCCCAGAAGTCAGGCAGCTGCCAGCCTTGGCGTAATTGTGGCCCCATGACTGCAGTCCACACCTGTGTGGTGGCCAGTCCAGTCCTCCACTGTTCCCTGTGGTCACGTGGTGGGAAAAGCCCCGGACTGGGAGCCAGTGACCTGGCTCTGAGCCCTGGTTCACTCCCTTGATGCAGTGTGAAGAGGCAGCATGGGGTGGGGTGGAGGGCATGGAATAGCTTCCTAGGAGATGGCATTTGAGGCAGCTCTTGGGACTTAGTAAGATTTCAGAGGGGAGGGGAGCGGGAGGAGCGGGATGGGCAGGGCCTTTCTGTTACAGGAAAGGAGAGAGCAAGATCCTCAGGCAGGAGGCAGCTGGAGCACGGAGCTCCCTGAGCAGAGGCGGCAGGAGCTGCAGCAGATGCTGGAGGGAGACATGGAACCGGGAGGCATTCCCTTCACCAGCCGCAGTTTGTGGAAGGACCACTGTGCTGATTTCACTGGTGGTTCTCAACTCTCTTTTAAACATTTCAGCTAAGTGTCGGCTGGCCAGTTCCATCCTCATTTTAAGGAGGGTTTCATTTTCTCTGCCCAGATCCCTGCTGTTACTGCAACATGGATCTCTGCCGGAGCAAGGACAGGGGAGGGCCATGGCACAGCCAGCCTGGGGTGCTCATCTTGGGGGGCTGGTGGGGGCTGGGAGTGGGGAGGAAGAGGCTGTAGAGCAGAGAGGGCGATTAAGGGGTGAACAAGGAAGAGACTGCGTAGAGAGAAGATGAAAGGGGGCTGAAGGGGGGAGAATGGGTGAGCAGGAGGAAAAAGGGAGCCAGAATGGAAGGAGAAATTGGAGCAGAGAAGAGAGAAATTGGGGGGGGGCGGGGTTGAGGGGTGATGGGGAATAGGGAGTAGAGGAATAAAGGGAAGCAAGAAGAGGAGGCAGATGTAGGGAAGAGAGGGGACAGAGAAGAAAGACTGGGGGATACAGATTGAGGATCAAAAGGAAATATTTATTCTTCATTAATATATTCTGAGAATGAGGTGTTCTAGAATGTATTCCTCATGAATATATTAAAAAAATATTCACTAAAAATATTCAAGAAGTATATATAATTGTAAGAATTGCTTACACTCCCTGAGTATATTCCAGGCTAACTTATTGCGCTTAGCTTTCCTAAAAGTGCTGCCACGGAATGAAAATGGGTCAAGCACGATTTCCCAGAAATGTTCTATTCTGTTACAGTCACACCACTTTCCCTGGATTACTTCCAATCCACAGAGTGAAAGAAACACACCCGTTGGTTAAGTTGGCCCAGACTTGGGCTAGTCTCTGGGCTCTCAGGCCCGCAGTGGGGCTGTCCCCAGCAGACACGGAGGGGCCAATGGAGGGGGACTGTTTCCAGGAGAATCTGACCTGTGAAGGACTCCAGCTCCCAGTCCTGCCCTCCACCACTGTGCAGGATGCTGGGGAAAACAGACAGGGATCTGTGACTCAATTTATCTAGAAAACAAAACCCCAGTCCTCTCCACTATCTGACTGAATTGTGCAAGGGTGGGTTGGAGTGTTGACCTGATGATGACCCAGAAATGACTGACCACTTGCCTGGAAATAGTCTTTACTGCCACTGTCATTACCCATCAAGATTGTAACACTTTTCGAGTGAAATGGGTACCTTTATCTTCTCAGCAAGTATTTCCTCTAATTTTTTCTTTCACCTTTACCCCAAAGGGACAGATTGTCCTTAAAGAGACATTGGCCGGAGAATGGGGAAGTCGCTCTGGGCTGTGCAAGACAGTGTGGAGTAACTCTGCATCAACAGGAACTTTCTCAAAAGCTGATTTTTATCAGAGAGCATTTCCGAGCCAGCTGGTTCCCCTGCACGGAGCAGCCACCCTGGCTTGCCCTCTCTCACCCCAATGGAAATGTGAATGCAAATCGCTCCTGAAATTTGCTTCTGAGACACTGGCTGAGGTGTTGAATCACAAGGGCATTTAAATGAATTCTTGGGGGTAGAAAGACAGAAGAGAGGGAGGGAGGTAAGGAACAGAACAGTGCTTGTGCCCCTCTGCCCACAGCCTGTTTGGGTCACACCACTGTCTTCTGGGGAGAAGCCACACGGGGTGCCCCGTGCTGTGCAGTGAGGACCCTGCTGTGTGCCGTGTGTGGGAGGACAGGGCCCATGGTGGCCCACTGATAAAAGGGAAGCAGTTCGCACCCTGTTCTCCTCCCCGAGGTGTGGGGAACCCATAAATAACAAGTAAACGAAGGTGCTCCAGAAATGACCGAGGTGCCATGGTCTCACATGAATGACTAGGCTAACTGTTAGCCTTCCTGTTCTCAGGCCAGTTCCCTGGCTGGGCAACCAGCACCAGCAGGTGGTCCTTACACTCAGCACCTATCTCTCTGTGAAGGGAGCTCAAGCCCGGCCAATCCAGGGTGGGCAACAATACAGCCCTGGCTGGTAGCTCAGTGGTTAGAGCATCAGCCTGCTCATAGAAGGGTCATGGATTTGATTCCCAGTCAAGGGTACATACCTGGGTTGCAGGTTAGACCCCTGGCCCCAGGTGGGGTGTGTTCAAGAGGCAACCAATCCATGTGTCTCTCACATGGATGTTTCTCTCCCTCCCCCCACCCTCCACCCCTACCTCTCCCTTCCACTTGATGGGAAAAATATCCTCGGGTGAGGATTAACAAAATAAACAAACAACAAAAGGAAAGAATACAAGAATAAATAGTATTACAGCCCTGGCTGGTAGCTCAGTGGTTAGAGCATCAGCCTGCTCATAGAAGGGTCATGGATTTGATTCCCAGTCAAGGGTACATACCTGGGTTGCAGGTTAGACCCCTGGCCCCAGGTGGGGTGTGTTCAAGAGGCAACCAATCCATGTGTCTCTCACATGGATGTTTCTCTCCCTCCCCCCACCCTCCACCCCTACCTCTCCCTTCCACTTGATGGGAAAAATATCCTCGGGTGAGGATTAACAAAATAAACAAACAACAAAAGGAAAGAATACAAGAATAAATAGTATTACAAGAATAAACTGTGTTTTGTGTACTCACAACTGTAAACCTACATTTGCTCACCCTGTCTGCTGAACTTGGCTAAGTGCCAGGTCAGCCTATAGCTCGGATCTAAGGCTCCTCTGAATTTGGGCCTGGAAAGGGGTGGACTCTTACCTACGTGCTCCAGGCCCTGCAGACCTAAAGCACACTTCACCGATGTAGCCGCAAATATTTGGCCGAGCCACATGAAATTGCCGTTTTGTCTGTCAAACCTAATGGACTCTGAGCAATTTTATATGGTTCGACCTTCTAATGCACGAGGTGGCGAGAAGGCGCTCTGTGAAGTCTACATGTGTTGGGCTGTTCAGGAGCTGGAGTGGCGGAGGGAACAGTATTCCGTGGGCCTCGCAGCCTCCTGGGGCACTGCCTATGCGCTGGCCCCCGGGCTGGGCGCCCCTGAAGGCA